GATTTGTTGTATTAATAAGGAAAAATAGACTTGTGAAATTTAATAACTAACCCTAAATTCTTTCTTTATTTTTCTGAAGAATTTTACTTTGAAAAAATATGGTTCATATATAATGGTGTAGAGGTTCGGAATCAAATTCACAAAAGGTTTATTAACAAGAAAATCAAATTTCACAAAGTTGATTTTAAAATTAGGGAATTAAGAGACGTTAGTGTGATATGGGCCTAAAAAATATTCCGATGAAACTATGTTAGAAGTGATTGCTGAAGAAATTTTAATTACGAGTTCACATATGTGCTCATACCTTAGTGTCGATCAATGTTTGAGATTTAGCTTAGTAAAAACTTAAAACTTAGAGAGATCGTGATCATATGATGATTTCGTTGACTATCTCGTGAAGAGTACTTGCTCGGCCACTTAAAGATGTGCATATTATTGGAACAAATGAGACTATGATAAACTAAGTTTCAAATGGGATGAGGTAATAAAAATGATGAGGACTTAAAATACTCACAAATATCAGAAACTCTTGGACTCATATTGCTATAGCAGAAATTTTTCTTTTTTGTAACTAGTAAAAATTTTTACCCACATTGATTGATTGTATAACATAGGTATCTATATATCTTAAAATAAACATATAAATCAAATATGGTTTCAACTCCTTTTTCTTTTTTTCTTTTTTTACTTGCATAATCAATTTTGTTAGGATCTCAAAATCAATTACCAATTTAATCAAAAGGTACCTTCAAACAAATTTTAATTAACAATGATATGTTAGTAAACTCATAATTTCCTTCACATTTCTAACCTAACATCTAAACAAAAAAATAATAATAACTACATTTATTTCAAAAAAAAATTAATGTCCAAACAAAATCACAAACTTAATACAAAAAATATATTATATAATTCTTATTTCGAGAGTTAACCTCTTTCCTTTTCCTTTTTAATTATAAAAATTGATTAAATAACATATCATAGGTCGGAAATTTATTGTCTGAGCTAAAAGGAAAAAAAATATATAAATATATAAACGGTTAGAACTATCTTTTAACCAAATTTGACAACAGAGATTAGATAGATTTGTACAAAAATTAAATAACAAAAAAGTAACCGAAATATAAATATATAATATTAACAAAAAAAAGGAA